TCCCTGTTCCCTGTCTCTCCTCCCCCTCTTACCCCATTGCTTTTCATCCGTATATAGCTTTCTCCTTCCAACCCCGGGGCCACCTGGAAATAGCTGAGAAACTCGACATCATCCGTCAGAAGTGAGCCCCCCTCCCAGCCCCCATCACCCAGCCCTCCCAACCCAACAGCTGGCTGCCGGCTCCGCCTCATTGGGCTCAGCATGGGATGTGGAACTGCCAGGGCCTTGCCCGGCATGAATGTTTGATGCCTGGCCCCCCGCCTGGCAGCTGGGCCTCTGCCCCGGGGTGCTTGAGTCCCCCTCTTCCCCCACCAGCCCTGGCCCACGTGCCCCCGCCTGTCTGCCCATCTGTCTCCCAGGCGTCTGTCCCATGTGTCTGGCCACCGCTCCTATTACCTGCGTGGGGCTGGGGCCCTCCTGCAGCACGGCCTGGTCAACTTCACACTCAACAAGCTCATCCACCGGGTATGGGCCTGGATGGGAGGGTTGCCTGGAGGGGGTGGCATTGAAGCTGAGCTCTGAAGGCTCAGGGTGGAGAGGAGGGGGTGACCTCTGCTCCAGTCACTGTTTTCAGAGCTTTACATGTATTATTGACATATTTAATTCTTAGGACAACTTTACGAGGTGAGTGCTATTATTATCCCCTTTAAAGATGGAGGAGGGAGTAACTAGCCAGGGTCTCCCAGCTAGCGTGTGGAGCCGCGCCTGTGACCACTGCCCCTCACTGCCTGCTTGCAGTGTACAAGGAGTGTTGGGGAAATACAGCATCCGTTGAAACTGGAGGGGTCGGCAAGGGATGAATGCAGGGGATGTTGGCCATGGTGAGGGACTCAGACATTTCCTGAGGGCACCGGGGAGCCACAGAAGGCTTTCAGCAGGGGAGGGACATGGTCAGATCTAAGTGGTATATCCAAGTGAGGAAACCAGGAAGCACCAGCAGAGGGGGCCCCAGTGACAGGGGCCCAGGACCCCGGGTCCAGCTCCAAGCCCACTGCTCAGGCCTGCCTCGATTTCCTCTGAAGTGAAATGGACTTCGGAGTGACACGGGGGAGCCATTGGGCCACCCTGCAGCGTCCTTTCTTCAGGCCTGAGCTTGGGGTCTGGTGGGGGTCCTGGCTGTGCTCCTCACCCCTCCTGTCCCCCCTCACAGGGCTTCACCCCCATGACGGTGCCAGACCTTCTCCGAGGAGCTGTGTTTGTGAGTGAGGACTCTGTTCCCCATGCCCAGCCGTGTGTCAGGCCCCATTCTGAGGGTTCCAGGTGGAGAGACCAGCCTGTCTCCCCTGAGGAACCTGCCCTGGGGCTGGGTTGAGGGGGTCAAGCCATAACAGGGAGCTCAGGGTGATTCCAGATGCTTTTAGGGGAGGAGCAGGAGTTGTGACTGCAGAATGGGGGCCACCCAGGTTACCTGACCCCTGACCTCTGTGGCCTGGCCTCCTCCCCAGGAAGGCTGTGGGATGACACCAAATGCCAAACCATCCCAAATTTACAACATCGACCCCTCCCGCTTTGAAGACCTCAACCTGGCCGGGACAGCAGAGGTGGGACTTGCAGGTGAGTTCCTACCTGGGGGCAAGAGTGGGGTGAGGACACCTCCAGTGTCCTCAGAGCAGGAAGGGATCGAAAGGGGACAGCCAGGAGCCTCCTGGCGGGTGATGGCTGCACGCCCAGGATATCTCAGCGACCCCAGGGCCTACGTGTACAGTTGGGTAGGTTGTTTACTGCACAGTGGTACGGTGAGGATCCAGCCACATGTCCCGACTTGAGGTTGCGTCTGCTAGAGGGACACCTTTTCTAATTCTCACAAAGGTTTCCTATGGCTGGCTGGATGGTGGCCTTGGCTGACCCATTCTGTCCTCCTCTCCTCCCAGGCTACTTCATGGACCACTCTGTGGCCTTCAGGGATCTGCCAATCAGGTGATGCCCAGTTCCTTTAGCCCTTGTCCCCACCAGTGACATTCCCTCTCCTCTCCCTGACCCCACCTACCCTGCTCCCCCCAGGATGGTTTGTTCCAGTACCTGCTACCGGGCGGAAACAGACACGGGGAAGGAGCCGTGGGGGCTGTATCGAGTGCACCACTTCACCAAGGTTGGCATAGCTAGGACTGGCAACAGCCCAGCGCCCCAGCCCGTCAAGCCCAACAGCCTAGCGCCTCCTGACTCCTGTGCCCCCCGCCCTGCCCCAGGTGGAGATGTTCGGGGTGACAGGCCCTGGGCTGGAGCAGAGCTCGCAGCTGCTGGAGGAGTTCCTGTCCCTTCAGATGGAGATCTTGACAGAGCTGGGCTTGCACTTCCGGTGCGGGGAGGGGCCGGGGGCTGAGGTGGGTGGCAGAGGATGGGGGTGAGGGAGGAGGGAGGGAAGGGCTGGCTAGGTGCTCCCCCATCTTGAAAATCCTCACCACCTCTTCTTCCTCTGCCCCCTTTTGCCTGTGTTACGATTATATATAGGATGTCCGTCTACCTATCAGTCTATAAAATCCCGTATAGGATCGTAATGGCCGCATAAGCTGCGCAGGGCACTCCAGTGTCAAGACCAGGCCCCTTCCCTCCTGTTGCTCCCCATCCCTAGGGTGCTGCCTCGTCTGCGTGGTCCAAGATGGCTCTTCACCCTCCAGGGGGGGAGGGCACACCCCTTCCCTTTAAGGGGGTGACTGGACGTCACAAGCCCCACCTCCTCGCACCCTGTCAGTCACATGGAGCTTTCAAGAGAAGCTGGGAAGTGTGGACTTTTATCTGGGTGACCCATTACAAAAACCTGAGGGTGCTCCTGTTACAGAAGGAAGCACGGCGATGGTGAACAGCCCACTCGGCCACCTCTTCCCCTTTGCCACTGTCCTCTACTTTATCCCTTGCATTTCCCTCTTTTGGCTGCCTCCTCTTCCATCACCTCCCCTTGCCCCTGCCCCGCTCCTCCACCACCTCTCACCTGCTGGCCCTTGCCATGTCTTTCTCCTGGGCTGCAGGGTCCTGGATATGCCCACCCAGGAGCTGGGCCTGCCCGCCTACCGCAAGTTTGACATCGAGGCCTGGATGCCGGGCCGAGGCTGCTTTGGCGAGGTGAGCCCCCTGCCCGGCGGGGCGACAGGGTGGGAAAGAGGACCCCACCGCCGCCGACGGCCCATTGTCTCAGCCCACCCCACCCCTATGCCCAGGTCACCAGTGCTTCCAACTGCACGGACTTCCAGAGCCGCCGCCTCCATGTCATGGTCCAGACGGAGGCCGGGGAGCTGCAGTTCGCCCACACGGTGAGCCGCCCACCCTCCCCAGTGCCCCGGCGCCCCGGGCCCACCACCTCAGCCCCTCCCTGGGCCGGCCGGCAGCTGGGTCTGAGCGTGCCCCTCTCGCAGGTGAACGCCACAGCCTGTGCTGTCCCCCGCCTCCTCATTGCGCTCCTGGAGAGCAATCAGCAAAAGGTGAGGGGGCAGCGGGAGGATCTCACGCAGGGAGGCGGAGGCTGCAGGGCTGGCAGGGCAGCGGCCTGAGGCCTCCTCTCTCCCCAGGACGGCTCGGTGCTCGTGCCCCCTGTCCTCCAGCCCTACCTCAGCACCGATCAGATCACGACCCCCACCCACGTGCCTCTCCAGTACATCGGCCCCAACCAGCCCCAGAAGCCCAGGCTCCCGGGCCAGCCTGCCTCCAGCTGAGGACTCATCCTCGTTGGCCAGTAGGGTTGTCGCTGTTTCCTGGAGCTTAGGGGGTCGCTGGGCCCCTGGGACCTGTTGTCCTGAGCCATCCCAACATTTGCCTTCCTCATGTCAGCTCCCTGCCTGGGTCCGTGGACTCCAGGGTCCACCACTCCTGTGCCCCTACTTCCTCAGGATCAGTCAGTGATCCTGTTGTCGTTGGAGCTCCCAGCCTGTGCTGGGAAGCAGTGGTTCCTCCAAGGGGACTTGGAGGTTCTAGGGATGGGGGAAGGCCTCCATCCCTCCTTTCTTCTTCCCACCCTCAGTGCTTAAGAGAAATCCCCCAATAAATGGTGGAACAAAGGCCTTTGTGGGTCTGTGAGTTAGGGGGTGGCCTGGCCAACCTGCTAGGGATGCTGGGCTATTGCTCAGAGGTGCTGAATCCTCAGGGGGTCTGTGGCTGCAGGAACCAAGCCAGAAGTGTCCAGCATCCCCAGAGCACGTGGAGGGTAGCTTGGGGGCCACTGAGGGAATTGAGAGGATGCCGAGGCCTCTCCGCTGACTCTGGGACAAGTGGCACCTCACATCCAACCTCCCCCCTCATTCCCCAGCTCCGGGTGGGGTCCAGGAAGCAGCCCAAACTCGGTGAAGCCAGAACTCACTCGTCCCCTAAGTGCCCCTGTCTCAGTACCTGGAACTGCTCTCCCAGCTCCTCAGGCTGCAGCCCTGAGAGTCATCCTCGACTATTCTCTCCTCTCCGCATCCACATCCCGTCCTTCAGCAAACCCTGGCAGCTCCTCCTTCAAAATATTTCCAGATCCCGCCTTTGCCCTCTCGTCCCTGGCCCCTCCCTGGGCCTGTCCACTGATATCTCCCATTTGGAGAGTCGCAGCAGTCTGTCGGCCGTCTTCCTGCTCCCTGTCCCCCGCACAAAGCCAGAGGGACCCTGTGGACACCTGCGTTGGGTCACATCCCTCCCTGCTCAGGGCCCTCCTGTGGCTCCATCTCACTTGGGAAAAGAAAAGCTGTCACCATGGTCCACGGGGCCCCACGTGACCTGCTCCCCGCCTTCCTCTTCAACCAGCCTCTTCCCTGCCGTGCTCTGGCCACCCCCCAACCTGCCTTGCTGTCCGCATTCTCAGACTTACTCCCAGCTCAGGCCTCTGCGCTTGCTGGACCACTCCCCGGCTCCTCTCCCCCAGATCTTGTGTGATTGCTTGCATTCTGTCACTCAGGCCTCTGCGCTTGCTAGACCACTCCCCGGCTCCTCTCCCCTAGATCTTGTGTGATTGCTTGCATTCTGTCACTCAGGCCTCTGCGCTTGCTAGACCACTCCCCGGCT